CTAGGTTATTAGCTTTAAAATGAGTATAGGAACTAGGTATTCTGAATCGATGTTAGAGTCACTAGAATTTCTTTTCGCAAAACTTTTCGCGTTCCGTTTCTTCTGTGAGTCACTGTAAATAAAGAATCAATGATCAGTCAATTCTATCCTTCTTTTAACCAACAATGTCTTCCTCCAAAATAACTCAACACTTTCGTGGGACCATTTTTCCAACTCACTTCGTTAACCGTCGAGTACTATTCCTTCAGTCGCCGAGTCTTATGTTGAGAAACTTGAGACCTTACGCAAATTCTTCACCTCCCCCCCCCCCCCCCCCCCCCCCCCCCCCCCCCCCCGCCCCCCCCCCCCCCCCCACCCCCCCCCCCCCCCCCCCCCCCCCCCTTTCTAAGCAACAGCCGAAGGAGATTCACATATGAGAAACTAGCCTCAACACATCATAGAATATTGTGGAATGCCACGGACCAAAAAACTGTACTTTCCTGGGAGAAAAGTATAATTTTTGTTGGAGCTAAGAGGGATCTGATATACAAATGTTCATTAATATTATACATTTCTTTTCCGCAAAAAAACTATACAACTACTATATACGTTACGGCAAGAATTAAAAAACTCGAACTTAACAATTTCGAACTCGTTTTAGTAAAATTTATTCACGAAATGATTTTGGGTAAAGTAAAACGAAAAACTTACATGGTGAGATTGCGCAACAACTATATCATTTGAAATACTATATTTAGATCTAAGGCACAATCCCAGAATTCTATATATTAGTTCCCCGTTTAGTGAGATGAACACTAGTAGATTAGTTAATGAATCGTTTGTTCTTCTAAAAATTTTACTAACGAAGATGAAGATATTAATAATAATCGAGTACAAACATGATATATAAGAGAGAGTGCGTGTGATATTGTACATAGTATAAGAGAGAAATAAAATTTTGGGGGTGATTAAGTAGTAATAATGTACATCCAAATCTATCTAAGTAATAATAAAATAATAATATTTTTATAAAATCAAAGAAAAGTCTTAAACCACCAGAAAACAATGATAATATTGATCATGAATATTAACGTGAAGAACCGAGAAATCCAGCTCGATATTTACAAAGGAATAAAAAATGAGGCTTGAGATTCTCAGCATGCAAAATTTCTAACGTTTAAAGTTCATTCATAAGATCTGTTATTAAATCTGAGATACGTAGGTTTGATGCAACGTCGTCCATCAAACTTAATTATCCCGAGTCATGCCTTGGCGGAGGAAACTGCATCGGCACACTCTGCCTGGCCTCAAACGGAAGTAAGTTTCGACGCGACGACGAAGATGTTTGTGGAGGAGGGCTCGAAGGTCCACCAGATGTGAAGTTATGAGGTGGAAAGAAATTTGTATTTTGCTCTATCATAGGAGTTGCAAATGGTGACACACGACCACGTGACGATGGTGTTGAATTTAGAGATTCACCACTTCCTCCGTGAGAAAGTAAACTTGATTGTGATTGTGAGGCAGGATACGGTTGTTGGTGTGGGTATGGATTTTGCTGATATTCATGTTCATGTGATGATCTATTACTTCCGCTATTGGCATATAAAGGTTTAGGCGGGACTAAAGTTGGATCAGATACGAGGTGCCTATTTCCTTGCTGACGTTGGTGTTGATTATTTCGATCAACGGCAGTTCTACTAGAAGCCTCACTCGACCCCGTTTTAATACTATTACGCAACGGTAACTTCTTCAGTGTCATACACCTTCGTTCACGCTCCCAATCTTCCCATTTTTTCATCACGATCATAGATGTGTCAAATACCCCGGCTTTTTTGCCGTGGTCGTCGCCTCCATCATCACCGGATACTTTACGCGTTTCGCCCCATGAGAAGTCATCGAAATGCCAGTACGCGTATACGGGTAGAACAAAGTTCCATATTGGAAGGGCTAACAAATAGACTATTTATTTTTTTATTAGTAAATAAATTAATAAGCATAGCCTTTAAACATAATAATAAATAGGAGACACATACCAATCATCCACATGACATATACTACTTTTCGTGTTGTAATGACAATTAACACTCCAGGCAATCCCAAAACCGCGCCTAATAGCAGTAGTGGAATAACTTGTGCATCCTTAGTGAGAATAGTCATTAATATTAAAAGAATCGTGAAGCTATTATAAAAAAAAAGGGACAAATTTTGAAAACGATTAACTCGTATATTATAGTAGATTTAAAAATACCAGATAAGAAGACAAATACATACCAAATAGCAGCCGGCAACACGACAGTTCCAATCAACTCCAACATCACCATAAACTGCATGGACAAACAAGCAATCCCACAAAGATCACTAACCAACACCAGCTCCAACAAATTATGCACTGTAGAATTAATCCACCGACGACGTTGCGACAACAGGACAGAAAACTCATCCGGCACAACCGTATGGCACATTGCTTCTGGAACAAACATCATTTTGCGCTTCGGAAATGATCGAAGCATTAGTGTACTCAAATATCGATCTTCTCCGAGTAGTAGCAGATTTTTGGAATGCAGCGTCGTGACGATGTTTTGTTGGTATTCTGAGACCACGTCCGGATTACTCAAAATTGGAATCCATTGATCTTCTTTGGGTGCTTTTAAGCGATACATGCAGAAACATCCAGGCAAACAAGTCACACCCCCGAATACCGATTCAAATGCTTTACCTAGATGATGGGAAATGAAATATTCGAATACTTGAATTGCTGATACCCATGATGCTGTCTTGTTTGCTATTCGTGTCTCGCCACATAGTCCCATAATCTTCGGATCTGTTTTCATTGCGGAGACCATATAAGTGAGTGAAGTGGGTGCTACTTCGGTGTCTGCGTCAACCTAAAATAGATCATTAATTAATGAAGAACTTAGAAATAGTTCACGATCAAAATAACAGGTACGTTACCATTAATATTAATTCGAATTTATCAGCGGTCACTCCCATTAAATAATAAATTTTCCAAAACAGTTCATAATCTAATTCGGTAAAACGATCATTCCAGTAGACATGTTGGAAGAAACTCATCAAGATGATCTATATTATATTATTTGGTGAGTGAAATCAAATGATAAAAAATATTTGTATCTCAGAGGTGATAACAACATACTTGTGAATCTCGTTTTCCACGATTACCAGGTTTAGGAGTTGTTTGTTCCTTTTCACTTCCAACTTTTACGATTAAAATAACTGGAACTCGATGGTTGTCTTTTGTATAATGTCCTGCGTACTATACAAAAATTATAAGATACTGAGCGTATATTTTTATACAAGTTTGTATACCAAAAAAAAAGAAACTTACCACTTTGGCCATATTGAATTGTTTCTCGCCATCTGCGATAGCAATATATGAACATGGTTCAGGGTCAGGTATGTCTGGTGGTAATTCAATAAGGTCCAAACAAATATCAGGTGTTGTCTTTTTGTTTCCTTCTCCTTTGATCAATCCATCAGCAATTACACAAAACAACTAAAGAGTACAATAAATTAATTAATCATAGATGAATAAAAAAAAGTAACAACAATAATGACAGTACCTTATGTTTATCGCTATATTCAGTAGAAGCCAAGCTATCCATAGTAGTACGCAGACCAGCTTCTCCCTCAGAATAACACGTGACCAACATAATCGTATATAATGGATCACCTTTCACCTGTAACCCATCCTTTGTCTTTACCACTTTAGTGAGCTTACTGGACATGAACCAACTAAACACAATGGCCATAACAAATCGTATCACTATTACTGCCAAAATCACTGCCAACGAGACAAGCATGATTATGTTTGTGGCGAAACAGCCGATCGTTTGGGTGGATAACACGCCAGCCGCGTATCTTCTCTCGATGCAATTCATGGCAGTTTTGTATTGGGCGCGTGAATTTAAAAGTTGTGTCCCATCTTTTGCGACAACTTTTCCGAGTATTCGGTGCAAGTCCGTACCAAAGTACGGCACATTATTTATTGCGTATTGGGTGATGTTTATCACTTTATATTTGACAATGAGTAGAGAATTGATTAATAAATTAAATTTAGAAAAAAAAGAATATAAGGATTGTAATTACCAGCATTATTATACACAATCAAAAAAGGACGCGGATTTATATTATTGGGAAGAATATCAAACCATTCATATGCCAAACTACCCGAAGACTGGATTTTCGGTGTCGGCAGACAATTACCATCAGCCGCTTGCAAAAATATACCTGGAGAATACGGATCCTCTACTTTACACGTAGCAGTAATATTCTTGCTAACGAGGGCATCGTATCGTGCGCATGCGCCATTCGTATTATCAAATAATGGGCTCAAATCGACTCCTTTGAAATTAGTATTCATAGTGATATTATTCACTTGTGATAAATAGCTTTGAACTAAACTAAAGTTATAGATTTTTCCATAGATTAGCACATCATCTCTTACAACTTTTACGAGGGAATTGTTGTCTTGTCGGATTGAGTAAGCGGCACGTGATGATGTATCTTCGGGACATAGGGCTGGGCGTAGACCGAATGTTAATATTGCCAATAATAAACAAATGAATATAATAATCATACACAGTGTCACCTGTATAATAAGCCAATAAATCAATTAATAATAACTCTAAACCCTCTTAATATGAGTGAAATAAAAAGTTATACTTTTTCCCGCCAAGCCTGTCGTACTAAAGGGTCACGCATCCCGCATTTTGATATGATGAAAGAAGGTGCCCAAAAAGTAGCAACTTTTGCAAAAAAAGGCCAAAAATGAAAATCTGCAAAAAGATCTTTTTTGACCTTTTTTTTATGATGGCTGCCATTACTTCCATATCTCGATAATCTCGATGGTCCTTGTTGTTGTGGATTAGTTTGAGATTGATTAGGATCAATAGATGCTGTTCTATGATGTTGATTATTTATCATTGTAGGTCGTGGTCGGTGCCTTTCTGGTCTGATCATGGATCGATTACGACTTAATTCTCCTGATCTCCCATAAGATGGCGAACGTGTGACTTGACGTGGATCTACTGCAAACCTCGTAGAATAATTTTGTGGTGATTGTGGTGGTGATTGTGGTGGTGATTGTGATCTATTATAATAATCTATATCATTATCATATTGTCCTCCGAAATATTGTTGTGTTTGCAGCGGATGAGGTTGATTTTGCTGTGGGTAATGAGAATTTTGATAATCCCTTGATCCACCAGCATTACTCGGCCTATTATTACTATTACTATTATATCTATTATTATTGCTAGGATTCGACATCTTTTCTGTCTCTTTCGCTCTATGTGTTATAATATGTATATAAAATCTCGCACTCCAAAAGTTGCCTTTTTTCGCTTCCTGCGCGAACTTCCGCTATTATATTATTGTTATTAGTAGTAGTAGTAGTAGTAATAGTAATAGTAGTAGTTATTATACTACTATTAATATTATTAGTTGGTTTATTATTACTATTATTATTGTCGTCGTTGTTGTTGTTGGTGTTGTTGTTAACAAATATGTAAAAGTTAGAATAGATTGTTCATTATTAGTTAAAGACCTAATTTAATTTAATTTAATAGCTTTCGTCGTTGATGTCGTTATCAGTTGAATCAATCGATTAAGTTAATTAGAATAAAAAGAAAGAAAGCGAGGATAATGCTTTTTTTCGAGAGCCAAAAAAAATCATTCGTTCTAGTCTAAAAACGCGCGCATAGTTTAATTGCTCGTCTTTTCGCAACGAATATCCACTTTATTTTGTTGTATATGTTGTATGTATGCAGCAAGTATTACACACTACATATACAATAGGTATAAATAAGCTAATAATAAATGAATACAACAAGAGAAATCAACAAAACACCAACAACAAATTCCCTTTATCTAAAAGAGAATTTTTTTCGAAATTAGAATTGGATGAAGGTTCTATTTTAATGGTTCTAATGGTCGTAACAAAAGCGAGTTGCATGTATGTGTGTATGTATGTCCGCGGTATATGTATTATATTATTAT